CGTCGCTGAAACTAATTTCACCAAAATATCTCAAAAATGACTATATGTCCTATAGGCTAAACACAATAATGCATAAACAGGCATAGACGGACAGACACGTTTACATGGATTCACGAAATGATTCTGAGTCGCTATAATAAAAAGTGCGTCTATCTCAAGTCCTCCTGGGTGTCCGCATAGACTTTGCATATCCCGCTTCGGTTTTGCTTATATATGACATTTTTTTATGGCTACAAGCAAGCCTATGACCTAATTGTACTTGCTCATTGACAGAACAGGTAAAACGCCGTTACGAATATGTGTGCAATGTCTCTTATAATTTATATTAAATGTTGTAATGTCCATCATAAATAATTTTTTTTTTTTTTTTGCATTGTTTATAAATGGAGAAACAGCTTGCACATGAACTTATATTTACTTAAATATATAATATAACACTAACGCACAGTCTTCTGGTTTGAAATTATTTTCATATAATAATTATTATTAATTTTTGTTATTAACTGACAAAGAAAAAATTAATTCATGTAACGTTCAACAAAGAAGTTTAATACAATAAATTCTAACAGACATATGTTTAATTGACAAAGAAATAAATACATATGTGTGTATGTGTTGAGATTATACCAATTATATATATATCCGTTTAATGGCAAATTTAACATGACTGTTGTTGGTCGAATTCGATATAAGTTACGAGGCGCACAGAACGAAGTTGAATTTTCTTGTGCTTTCTTGCAGTAGTCATCGAGGCCGTAGCTTGTTCAAGTCCATCAATTAATTTCGATGTCCAATCTCCTTTTAATATTTCAAAATGCCCCCATCATATTTTCATTACAATTCGCTCCCGACTACTTCTTGCCCAATGCAATTAACGCCGACAGTGTCGTTAAGAGAAGAATTGAATGTCTTGTCAAAAGAGCGGATCTGACTTTAAATATTTCCTTGTGTTAATAGGATGACAGTCCGAATTCCTTATATTCGATATGAGGATGAAGGCCGACTATTTTTGCGTCGATTTTTTTAGTCCCTAAAAAGCAGTTATTCTTCTTGAAACTTTCATGAAAGATGCCCTTAAGCGATAATGTAATTTTACAGTATCTTCCACCGTCTCTCTCCAAACCTATCAAATGAACGATGGAACAGACGGTAAACTGATTGTATGAAAACGCCATATATCAGACGTATGTCATCTAGATGAACTTGTACAATTAAGCTGGCGCGTCATAAGTCGCTTGTCCGCAAATGATCCATAATTCTTATCTCTTCTCATTTTTCTTATTTTCTTTATTCATTTATTGCTTACTTGTAATGTAAACTAACTCGATATGCTTGCGGATCAAAATTGACCACCTAATGATTTGACGGCAAACTCTAGTGATTTCAAGTGAAATGATTTGACGGAAACGCAATTATGTAATAAATTCATAGAAAGAGATTCAAGAGAAAATGTCAACTGTCAGTTGAAATCTTGAAATCTCTTCACACAATGTTGACGAGCTTCGCCATAAAGAATTAAGTCAAAAAGAAAGAGTGCAATTATTTGACTGATTAAGGGCGATAGCAAAATATATCACAATTGTGATATAGATAAGATTACCTGACGAATTATAATTTTAAGATTTATTCAGTTTTCTTTAGAAACATGAAAAAAAAAAAACGTGAATCTTGTATTTGAACTTCGCGGACATTATGAAGTCACGAAATTATTCTTTTTATTTGTATGGATCGGGTGTATACTATTTTTGTTTTCTATGTAGAGGATTTGCAACCACGAACGCATAATGAGTCCCACCATTACGGGAGATGAGACCTGAATCGGTGTAGGCGATCTGGAAACAACCAATTAATCGCGAGAATATCATGCAACAGGTGAACCAAAACCGCGCCAAATTTACTCGACAATGAAGACCAAATTGTTGCAAGTTTTCTTCAGTTATCGCGGTGCTCTGTATTATTATATAGCAGGGAAGCTCGTCCTTGAGGCCAATTCTTTAAAAATATGTTATGAAAGCAATTTCGAAGAATAAAAAAAAGTTTTTGCATTTTCTAAACAAATTCACTCTATTTTAGGTCGACAGTAATAGTGTGTCCATAAAAATACGGATTACGACCCCCTTAAGGTAAATGTTTGGTTAGTCGATTTAGCTAAGTGTGCCTGCCAACCATTTGTTCGCTAGTTCAACAGTTATTACCTAAAAAGTTTATTTAGAAGAATAAACTTCAACTCATTTATTTATTTACATATTTTATTTTCATTATTTTTTATCGCCCTTTCTGCGCAATTCGTTTACATGAGCTAAAAAAAAAAAAAAAAAATTCTCATTTTGCCCTTTCTTAGATCGTTAAGCGAAAATTGAAGACTCAATTTGAAGCTTTGAACTACAAATTTTATTACCCCATTAAAAAAAAAATATATATATATATATATATATATATATATATATATACGATAAATAAGCATTCGGTTTAATTTTCATTATTATTTTAAAATTGTTGCCAAATTATTATACGATCGTTTATATAATATATATGAAATCGATGTCTTCAACGAATAGATCTAATCGTCAGCATTAAAACATTCTGCTTAGAGAAAGCGAAGAGGATCGATTATCATGTGCGCTCGATTCAATAGTCATTGTCGATAGTATCGTTTTATAAGTTTAAACAACTCGATTTCTATCACGATTCTACATTGCTGGATATAGTTGAACAGTGAAGTCTTGAAATGTACGAAATGATAAATGCAAAATCTTTTTCATAAACTTAATACAAGACGGAACTCGCATTGACATTCAAAGCCCAATTAAAAACTAATATACGTTCCGCAATAGAAAATACATAAATGTGTCCCATATTTCCGAAGATGACCGATGGAAAATGAAATTCGAAAGGTCGTTTAGTAACAAAGTTCACAATAAGCATTCTTTAAGGGAAAGTGAAAAATTCTTCGGATTATATTACTTTCGTTATTACTAAATCGTTATATGTTCGAGATGAGCAACACCCCGTCCTAAATGGAAATACAGAAAATAAATTTTTGTACCCATCACCGGTTACCCTAAAAAAGACAAAACAAGTAAAAGAACATAATTTTCATGCTCAAAATAAAAGTTTTTGCCGTAGCGGCATATGGGCGTTGAAGGCGTGTCCTTCGAAAATTTTAGGTCAATTCAAAATTGTTTTGCACCTTTGTAGGCGATATCTTCATTTTCGCTAACAAATACTACAAAGTTACGCAAACGGACAGATGGACAGACGAAGAGGCGGAATTTTTTAGGTGCATTTCAAATTTGAAACTGCCCAAGATTTTATATACATTTATATACATACTTTATAGGGTTTTTGAAACGTATTTCTGCGCGTTATAAAGGTATTGAGAAATTCATTTTTATGCACTATAATATTGGGTAGGTGTGATCAATTTTTTCCAATTTTTGTGCATCGCCCAGAGAGTCTGCATCCGAATTTTTCTAAATTTATTTGCTATAGCTTATGAGCAATGAATAAAAAATCAATTTTTTCATTTCTTTTGATAAATAGAGATGTTCTCAATTTAGGTGGTGCTGGCCTTCGACCTGTTTCGTCCATTTTCAATACCGAGTTGCGCGCAAGAACTTGCATTATTTCTGCCAAATATCAAGTCGATAGCTTCATTTATGCGGTCTATTGTACGATAGACATTGGATAGAAGGACAGACAAACGGACATGCTTTAGAATTTAATCAAGCTGATCAAGAATACATATACTTTCTCTGATGCTTACTTCTGAGCAAACATTGCAAACGTTTTGACAAAATGAATATACCCCTCATGTCTTCGGCGATGGGTACAACAAAGCCAGATATTTTCAGCATTCTAAGAGAAGTAAGAGATATTTATTTATCCAAGGAATGGCTACAAATATATTCTGTAAAGATGTGTTCAATTGACCCGTTGTCTCAATTATCATATAATTCAAATACACTATGTCAAATCCGTCCAAGTCAATTTTTTTTTTTGGCAATATGGGAAAAACCATACCGTTCTTATTGAAATATTTCACTTATATAAATTGCACAATTAAATTTGAAATGGAGAAAGACAATGAGAAAAAATGGCAATAATCAGCTTCAGATTTAATGACAGAACTACGACTGCTAGTAAATGATTAGTCTATTTACCTATAGTATATATATATATACATATGTATATATGTATGTATATATGTATGTATATATATATATATTCAATATTTGTCAAAAAGCGATTATAGATATCTTACTTTGTTGTTGTTGTTTGTTTTTTTTAAATTACATTACTATTGATTTACTCTAACGAAAAGCATAAAAGAATTATTTCGCCAATTTGCAAAGAAAACTGGATAAAGTCTTTTTTTTTTTTGCTAAATAAAATTAAAAGAAAGAGAAGCATGCAAGATGTCATCAAACTTTTACTGAAAGCGTTTAAACCGCGAGATATATGCATTCATGAGTAAAACGTTAAGTATATAAGAGTTATACACGCTTTGATAGATAGCTTGGCTCCCAACCAACACATTATGAATGCAAAGTGCTTTGCACATTCCAAAGCAGTGTCAGCATAGTGAACTTTATGATGATGACCCGACCTTTGCATCTCTAAAATTTCTTAAATCTTTTATAGCAAATGTTAAATCAATATTTGCTAAATGCATAATTTATTGCAATGTTGTAGGATAATCAAAGGATAAACGCGTTCGGGAATGGATTAGGTTCCTATACTAGGTATATCTTGTATGTTATATGCAAAATTGCAAATTTTCTAATTTCAAACATAAAAACAAAAATGCGAAGGGACGGACGGAGTGACGAATGAATGGATTGATCCTCGATCGAACGAAAGGATACAATTAATTAAATGTAAATCTCTTATAGCGATCATGATTGGAACGTTTCGATTGCATTTTAAATTGATATAAAAAATGCAATGACTATGAGATACGTATTCGCATATCTCTCTTATGTAAATTACTTACTTACTTTCTCAAGTCCCGTGGCTACGCGCTAACATACGCCAACGTAAATATGAATGGAAATTTTTATGTGATCTTCGTGCTGCACTCTCTCTAAGAGATAACCAAAAATTTATGGGGATAATAATTTTGCAGGATTTATTTTAAACTATATATATTTATATATATATATATATATATATATATTTTCTTTTAACACGAACTATCGTTCACGCTCGTGTTAATTAAATCTAAAGTGGCTACATTTGTAACACAATTTTTCTTTTCATTGGCGTATAAACCTTCTCTGCGGCCTTAGATGGCGGAAGGTATCTTGGTGTATTTGTTTGTTATTGTTGTAAAGCAAAAGAAACAAATGTTCCTTCGTTTAAAGCAAATTTGATTTCACTTTCTTTCGCTAAAAGAAATTTCCGTCAACTATTAAGTGTTGTAAACAATTAACGTTAATTATTCTTTATATTTTATTTTTAATTTTTTTTATTTTATTTTTAGTTATGTCTCACATGTATTTATTTTTAATTCTTCGCTGATATTGGTTTTTTTTTTCTGGTTTCTTTTAACGACCGACGAATTATGTGAGGAAAGACTAAAATTATATCGTTTCAATAGCAATCTCTTAGGCACGTACTTATGTATACGATCGACAATGACAAAATATCAACTGCAAGTGTTTTGCTTCCTTTTTATTTAAAGTCATCCAAAAACCTGATCGCTTGGCGTAATTCTCTCGGCCAGAGTTCATTTTATTTACATTGCGCTCGTAAATAAATGCAAAGATTGTTGCTCTTAAATTTACTCACTACGTTTCATATACAGTATTTATCGCTTAGCTGTGTCACGCGGAAAAGATCTGCACAGTAAATTACTACTGAAATATTAACAAATTGTAAATCAAGCTGAATAGTGCTATAACTCTACGCTTATCATCGGTAAAATATTCGGAGAAGCAAAACCATCTTCCGTGTAAAAAGAATCCAAAAATTTCATATGAATTTATTTTGATCGAAATTTTGAAGTAAAAAATCTTTGTGAAAACGAATCCAAAATATCAGTTCGATAATTTGAACCTAACCTTCAAGATGATTGCACGCCAGTACGCTAAGACGAGCACGATTTTTTTTTTTTTTTCTGGATGTTCTCATACAAGTCGATCAGGATGAGTCAAATCAGTTATTATTATTTTTTTTTTTAGAAGCCCTCGAAGCTATACACTTTCCATATGCTTGTGTTGTAAGTCTTCCATGATATAACCAGGACCTTGGCGCACGAAATTTTCTTTTTTCGAGCGAAACGCTAGTTAATATATTTATTATAAAAATCGCAAACCGCTTGAGACTACGGCTAATGAAAGCAATACTTTTGATCCTACAGAAAGCGTAACCTCTCAGATATTCAATGGAAAAAAATGATAAAAATATTTGTTAGGGATATCCTTAAAATAATGTTTATAGAATTCATGAGAACTGTGGGCAAAGTTGTTGATTAAGTGTGATCTGAGCATTGCCTTATTCAAGTTCTTCAAGTAGCATCCGGAAGCAATTGTAGGTGGATAGTGGATGGCGAATGGCCCGAAGTACATGATATCTCCACGAAAGTATGAAGCGCGCCCTGAGCTCACAATAGCTATTGAGAATTTTTTTTGAAGACACGTATGGCTCAACGCTATTGATCGAGCTCCGTTTATGCATTTTTTTTTGAATTCCTTTACAATTCCATCAGATAGGAACCGCATAGTGAAGTAGATAAAAAGCATGGCTACTAGTTGACTTATCTGGATTCAATTTCCAATGTGTCGGTAAATCGTTCCTTCACTACGATTGCCCTGTGGCCCTACGCTGTGGATGAACGCTCGGTTTTTTGAAGACGTAACTATTTCTGATCGGATGTGCGTGCACCTTTCAGGCTGCTGCCGCACCCTACAGCTCTTTCATCCTCTTATGTGTAGAATTAAAAAACGAAAAAAAAAAAAAAATAGAAATAAAAATAATAAAAAAACGTACAAAGGCATCGTTTTCTTCAAATATAATTCAAACTGCCCACGTCTCCGTCCTTCTCTGCTTCGCCGTTGTTGTGTGCCACCATATCATTCCATTTCTCATTTGAAAACCAAGTCGTAAGTAAATATACGGTTTTTTTTTTTTTTTAAATACCTTTCTCTCTATTCGAGTGGTACTTTTCAACATCAATCTTGCTTTCCACAAGATGGAAAACAATTGTCTCCCAACATTTCTTTACGAAGAAGAAAGTGTATCGTACGTGACGAGTGCGCTTTATAAGGATGCAGATTCAGCTATCAATAAATAAAGCCAGATCTGTACTTGGCCTATAGAACTTGACGACCTATATCTTAGGAAAAGGCTTAGTTTGGTGGTAAGATCAATACTTGGACATGCCCCAGTTGTAAGCTTTTCTTTGTACAAGTGACATATACAGCAATTTATGCCTGTTGCTTTGGATTGGTGCACGCTTCTCTCGTTGCCTACTTATAACAATAGATTGATTACCTTTGCCCGTCTTGCCTTCATTAGAGAAACGTAAATTTATCCTCGATGCTTTGTTCTTAGTTAAGCTAATATGAGCTTAGTTAAGCTATTGCGATAATGTTCATTCACCGGCACTATTAAGGAAGATTAACCTCAATGTTCGTAATAGTTTTTTTCCGCAAAATTCAGTCGATCTAAATACAGTTGCGAGCTTCTCGAACCGTTTGCCAATACCTAAATAATATCTATAATTTAATCTCAATATCCGAATAGTTAGCGTTTATTAAAGCTCTACAAGCTCTACCTATCGTATTTAAACCAACTGGTAATCATTAAAACTATTCGTATATAAAACTAGATTTGTTCGCAATAATTGGCTGCCAAGCTTCTGCATGCTTGCAATGGTTTAGGATTCAGTGCCAACTCGGATCTGTACGCCGGTTGCGAGTGTGCATCTCTGCTAGATGCGTACATGTTTCTTTTCTTTCTTTCTTTTTTCCTTTTCTCTTTTTTTTTTTGCTTTTTTATTATATATATTTTATAATAGTTTAGTCGTAAGAAGTAATAGGGGCTGTAAGTTTATGTTAATCAAATTTCACCTGTTAATGAAATAACAAATAATGATGTGCCTTTGTATACCTAAACTAAATATATATTAAACCACAAATATTTGTCTATAAAAAGGGAGAAAGTCTACTGACATTGCTTTGCTTAAGCAGACAAACATCTAATTTACCACCGAAAAAATGTTAGTTAACGGAATGTTAAACATGCAGTAACTCTGTAAAAGAATTATTACAATTTAGTTTTACACTTCTTGAAAAACAAAGAAAATGTTTGATTTATATTATATATACTCCTAAGAACACCGTCTTTTTTTACACGATTTTGAAATAGGACAGTTCATCAATGAGAGCAAATACACTTTTTTTACGCGATTTTTCTTTTTTCAGCACGAATCCCCAAAAAATTTTTTTTCAATCCAAATTTTGACAGTGTCTTACAGAAACTTATGTAGACAGCAATAGTCAAAGACCAAGTTCAGCTGTTAAAGGTTGGTTTAATTCGCGAGGTCTTGAATCTTGTCACAAGTGTCGACTAACGTTTTCGTACTCATGATCCAAGCCAAAAGAGGCTGTTAGTAACGAAAGAAATTCTTCTCGAACCCGACATTTACGCCAAAAATCGGACATATTTGACATATCTACTCATGGTAGCACTTTTGGTCCAACACGTAATAAACGTTCATGCTCGTTAAGCAAGCAACGATAATAGTTGAGAAATTGGTTATTTATTCCTACTTTCTATTTTTACATTTTCTACTTATGAACAGAATATTCGCTTTAATATTTTTTTTTTTTATAAAAAAAGTAAATTGTATTTGTCTTATAAGAATGTAATAAAGAATTCCATTATTACTTTTTTTGGGCGATTTTCTGAGAATATATTTCGAGTTTTTTCATCATAAAAGTTATAGAACATATCCCGATTTGACCGTATGCCGCATGTATTACTTTACATGATTGTTTTTTGCACCAATTTCTAAAGAATGCATAAACCGTGTAAAAAAAGCAGTGCGTAAATTATTCTTCACTCTGCTATGCTTTCTTTCATATTGTACTATAACCATTGCTTGACTAACTAAGCATTAATAAATTGGCAAAAAGAAATTTTTTTTCCAATAATATATATATATATATATAAGCTTAAAACCCGATACACACACATATAATGCAATGAATAGCTATTCATAATTTTTTTATTTATTAGATAAAAATAATTTCAGTAAGTTTATCGAAAAATATTGAATGGAAAGAAAATGCTTCTCTCATTTGGTTCAGACGCTGCAAATATGAATACAATTTTTTGTTACGACCATAACATTTCAAAAAAGCTTTTTTATTACCAAGCAATCAAGAATATATTCCTGGTCTTGCTTGATATAAGCCATAAATGAATATATATTTTCTTCGTATTTGTTATGTAAATTCCATAAATTTTTATTTGATTCCATTCTATATATTCACGATTCTCTTGAATATGTATAAAAATTTATTATTGAAAATTTTAGTAAATAACATTATTTACACATTAAGTGGTGGCCAGCGGTCCTATGAAACATACATGTTACGAAATACCGGGTGGTATGTTCTTACATATCAAATGCAATCGAAAGATTGTTTTGTAAAACTCCAGCCGCTGAAAAAACGAGGCTCAATAACTTCATATTATTATTCAAAAAAATTATATTGTTGAAAACTGAATGAACTTAAAGTAAAAGAGAACTTAGTGCTGAGATCATCTGCGTAACGGTTTCTAAAAGAAACTTCATATTCCTGCTTAATCTCAAATGACAAGAATAATCTATGTTCAGGCTTTGTTGTATCACTTTTTAAATCCGCGACAGACGAATGGGAAAAATACGCCTATCGTCTTTTCCCTGAAATGCTTGTAATCAAAAAATTTGTAAATAAAACTCAACTCTAATACAAAAATATGTGAATAATTGTTATAAATTAATAAATATTAAACACTATATGATATATGATGTTATTTCCATAAGAATTTTCAAGTGGTTCCATTCACAAATCTGTCATATACTTGATGTTTTACTGAGATGAAAACTATTGTAAGACGATAATAAAACGGGTTATCGTAAAGTCAAGAGCTTACTTTGCCAAAAACATCCAGATTCGAAACCTACCGCGACAAATCATAATATAAAAAAAAAAAAAAACAAATTAATTTTAGATTACATCAACTTTTAACTGTCAAACTCACCTTGCCAATAGTTTAACTGTCAATTTAAATGCCAAAGCAAATGGGCACGAAGGTTGAAAAAGCACCGAATGGGCTTTGAATACATACCTAGCCGTTGGATGTGTTCAATAGAGATATGTTCTAGAATAAAAACCGAACAGAATCTGCGATTATATCCGCCGAGACAACATTACATATGCAGCTGGCGACAACATTACATATGCAGCTGTAATTATCACATTTTTGAAAAATGTAAAAACTATACTCAACGTATGTTATTCTACAAGGATAACAGCGACCCTGCAGTTTGCACAAATAATTATAGTAGAATGCGAAATAAAAAGCAGTAGTCCTTAAGACATTTTAGTAAAAATCGAAAGGCAATTATAACTAATTTATATAAAAGATTGAAGTCATTCGATAAGCTCACAAAGGAGCTTCTAAGATCGATGAAAAATTAAACCACAATATTCTAGGAGGAGCATTTGTAAATTTAAGAACATATAGCTCTGAAGGAGGAAATCACAATCTATCTTATAGCGTGTACCGCTCATAAATATTCCTTAAAAGAGCTAGTCTCTTTTTAAATACTGATGAAAGAATTCGGAATCGAAGTTGAATATTTTTGTTCGAAAGGGAAAAGAAGACGAAGCCTGCAACGGAGAGGACTGCGCGTCAACAAACGTTAAAGGTGGAGTAATATTAACCAAAAAGCAAAGTCTACGCTGCAACGTTTACCCGACGAAGAAGAAATAAGCAAACAAAAACGGGAAGGTGAATATATTATGGGATATACGATTAACGCAAGTACAAAATATACGAATTGTGAAACGTGCCTAACGCTATTGAGAATAAACCGTAAAAAAAAGAGCTGAGGGTTATATTATTTTGCTGCTGTAGGATTAAAATCTGGCACTATTAACAATTGATAAAATTCAACGATAATGTTCTACAAATGGATGATTTTCTATGTAATTCTATGATCTCCTAGTTTTTCAATTTCTTTAATTTCTAATTATTCAAGAAGAATTATTCACAATACATAAGCGAATATCGCCCAGACGCACAACAACTTTTCAATCTCAATGGTCACATTATACTCCTGGCTTATCGTTTTTACTCAAAAGCAAGAAAAGTAAGAGACAAGAAAAACAATGTTGTCAACCAAAACGAAGATAGAAACAGTAGATATTATCGCGATCGAAGAAAAGTAAATTTTACAGGGTTCACTAGAAAGGCAAAAATTTCATCGATTATTTTGGTTTGTTGACAATTTTCACAGCGAAGACTATGCAGTGATAGTCACTGAAAGAATATCAAATCAGTTATTCCATATTTGGATACAGAACGACAATTTGTAGCTTCAAGGTGAAACAAAATGTCACCATACATTGGGAACATCATTCCAATGTAATTAATTAAATTTGTAGAAAAGCTTCCTGTACACTTCCTTTAACACATTGACAACTTTCCAATTTGACACCAATTGCCGTCGTCTTATGTAAAAAATAAGTACAACAAACTTCGTCATGGTCCACTTGATCAACTATGTTATATTCATGTCATATGGGTTTCTATCCTTCTTATGCAGCAATAAACTTTTTAGTTTACCTTACGTTGGTTCGTTAAACATTAATTGTGTTGATTTCGAAGTTTTCATTTGAATTCTAATAGGGTTCTCCTTAAAATTAGATATTTTTTCAAAATAGTGGAGTTTTTTCTTTCTTTCTTTTTTTTGTTATACACTTGGGGAAAAAAGAGTTGAATTTTCTTATATGACTTTTGGTTTGGCTTAGGCGCTATTGATTGCTTAGCAAACATTTGTTGCTAATCGAAGACAGACAACTTTAGTTGCGTTAGCACCAAAGAAAGGGAGTAGTATTCCTGGCAAGAATAAAGTAAGGTGTAAAGTAAGCGATTTTGGCGCTTACGTGCAGGCAGCTTTTGCTTGCAAACATAAACAATCTTCTTAGATACCAATCAATCGTTACGCTATCAAGAATTTGTTAAAAAGCCATACTATTCTTATTATTATTATTGTAATTTTTTAGACTAATGAAATAAACTCTTAGACTAAAAGAAAAACACTAGCAACATAGACTATGGCCACAGTGCTTCAATAAATGTAGAAATTTTCTAAACCTTTAAGATTATTTTGGATGTAGTAATGAATTGATGGGATCCCTTTTTATGATCGATCATACCTCTTCTTTCCTATTGCCGCATCTATGTCTGCTGCGATGCAAAGTTATGAAGCGAAAATATTATGGAAGAGGTTTGGACTAAGCTGAACCACGTTTATATTCATGTTCGATTTGGGAAGTCGAATCATTAACAGCATATAACCAAAACTTAAACTATTTATTCAAGTGTTCTTTCCATGACTTTCAGAATTCGAATAGTACGCAGATGGCAAGAAGATGAATAAAGCTAAAACTAAGAAGATTTGGGATGGTAAAATTAATCTCCATAACATCGTGCACACTCATTCTCATAATACATCTTCCATTTACTAATATCGAATATTTCAAGTATGGCTTAACTTCAACTACGGGTCCAACTAAACGGAAAAGATTTTACGCTTTGCATGATTGATCCGTTCTTATGTATTCTTCTCGACTTAATCAAATGTACTTTTTGTAACCCTCGTTGTTGTAACTTGCTATACCTTGGTACTACAAAGTAAGAAATTAGTTAGTTGGGTACTATTGCAAGCAGTTCTTTCGACTGTGACAATCCCTTATAAATATTACAAATGTGTATAAAAACAAGTCAAATAGAGTGCATTTAAAAAGATGAAATGAAAAATTTTATTTCCTATATAAAATCACGGAAATGATTAAATCGTTTAAAAGTCAGAAATTTGTTTCTGAAACGCGTCAAGTTCAAAAAGTCCATTTTAATGGATTTTAAAGTCTATTGAATACTCGTATTTTAAGAATATTTTTAATTTTATTTTTAGAAAATTTGTGCTTAAACAATATATATGGAAAAATCTACAATAATAATAAAAGAAAAGATAAGTAAATAAATAAATATGTTAAAACAAATGCGTTTCGCTAATACCTTTTTTTAATCACACGAAAATAATATATGGAAACAATAATACACACAAAACAAAAATAATATTAACCAAGCTTGAGTACGTAGAAGTGATGAACAGTAATCCACCGGTATGAATTTATCCGCAGAACATATTTGATCATCGTACGCATGACAGCGACATTGATGATGTTGATCTTGATGACGATAGTGATGATGATGATGATAATCTTGCGCTCAATATCTTCGAGCTGTAGTAGGCCGTGGTACACCTGAAGTACGCGGCCTTGCTGAGCCTAATGAGGACTTAGCTCGCATAGGTTGCGTAACCGATTCCGAATTATAACTAAGATACACATGCGATAAATCGATCAAATCATTTGCATCTTTGTTATTGTCTTTTGTTTCTGATATATGTTTGCGCATATTGTTGCCGGTATAGGCAACACATTTCAATTGCCATTCGCCGATATCCTCATTCCAGTGGGTATACTGATTAATCATAGACTGATATTCTTTTGGTATATAGGAATTCAGTACAAGTTCACACAAAGCCAATTCACGTGATAGAGAGCGTATATTTTCATATATGGCTTCTTTCTCACGTTGATGTTCTTGCTGTTGATCGGCTAATTCAGCTTTAACACCCATCAGCATTTGCATAACTCGATGAATTTTCTTAGTAATGCCAGTATTAGCCTCCTGTAGGGACGAGTAACGTTCTTCGATATCTATGCGTTCAGTTTCTTTTTGCTGTAATGTCTCCCGTAAAGCCTGTTCGGCTCTTTCACGTTCCTCCAGCTCTTCCAAGGATTGCTCCAGTAGTTTCTGTTGAGTTTGTGCTTTCTCCAAAAGATTTTCACCACCTACTAGTATTTTGCCTTCCAGTGATATAAGTTTATTACGCAATTGCTCTTGCTCCGATTTGGCGTTGGCAATTTCATGTTGATGCTCCCGTTTGCGACGTTCCAAAGCTTCCTTCTTGGCTAAACGCTTCTCGCGAATTTCTTTCTTTTCACTGTTTAATTGGGGCTGCGCATCAGCCAATACCTCAGTTTCAATTTCATCGTCATCATCACCCTCTTCTTCTTCTTCTTCCCCCTCAACCAACTCTTCTTCATAGCCTTCTTCCAGCTGTTTGCGCAAACGTTCGATCTCTTCTTGAAAGTGACGTAACAAAGCGTCTTTTGGCTCTTCATTAACATGCATGCGGTTTTGAATGTTTTTAGCGCGACTAGCATAACGTAAAGTTGATATTGTTTCCATATAATTGGTGTCGGCTGGAGAAATAGTAGCACACATTACCGTCTTCGAGTTTCCACCCAAAGAATCCTGAAGCAAACGTGTTAACTTGGAATTACGATAAGGAATGTGAGCACTTTTTCCATCCACCAAAGCACTGATGACATTGCCCAACACGGATAAAGATAAATTGATTTTTGTAGCTTCCTTCAGACGTTGACCGCTAGCTTGAGTTTTACTTTGCCTCTCTGAACCAGCTAAATCGACTAATTGCAATTTGCCCATACGTACATGCTGTTGACCGCCTTCGCCCAACTCACTGCGCTCTATGGTTATGGAAAATATAGCATGCGAGCGAGAAGATTCCAAATTCATTTTTGTAGCACCAACAGCACGATTTTTGTTCCCTAATCTCATAATATTTTCTAGATCGTCAGCGTTATGTACTACATAACCGCTCAAATCCTTAACAAAGACGCCAATATCGGGACGCTCTTTAACTTCCAAGCTTTTGGTAACATCTTTACCCAACAAGTCACGCACTTCCTCGTTATAAATTTCCATATAACTGACGCGTACTAAAAATTTCTGATTTTCTCTAGCCTTTGCAATGTGGCCAAAAATATGCGCAAAAGCATTCGGTATGATGCCTTTCGTTTGCGGCGATTCTGCGCTACCGGACATAGTATACGTTTTACCAGTACCTGTCTGGCCATAGGCCAATATAGTACCATTGTAACCTTCCAGGACTTTTTCAACAATTGGTCGAGCAGTATCTACGTATAAATCTAACTGGTTGGACTCACCATCGAATACATTATCAAAGTAGTATGTTTTGGGTGGTTCATTCGAAGTAGCATTAGGCTTGACTACAGTGATGGCGCGCTTCAATTTATCAACCTTAATAACACTTAGCGAACCTGACATGATTTCATTTCTATCCATAGGACGAGCACGCACCACCACTCGTACATTTTCTACTTCAGCTTGTTGTTCATTATTGTCTTCAGTCATTGTTTAATATTTTTCCTTTACGATAACTTTGATGTTTGTTTCCTTCTTACACAATATTGCCTTTTTTCAGTTTAGCAAAAAATTTTGCTAAAGTACCTTTATTGATTTTTTTTGTTTCCTTTGAACATCTAATTTTATATTATAGTGTTGTCTACAATTCGTTTAGTATAAAAAAAATAATTATCAAAGATTAGCGTAAAATTTTCAATATAGGGTTGCTTGCTGACACGAAAAACCGCGATTATACTTTCCTTGGAATAACGCATCTTTTTAATATATTTCTTTCTTATCATACGTTTATGCTTTATACAATTAATTGATGCGTTTAAGACAAATATTAACTTTATTTAATAATTCTTTAATTTCTAATTGGACAACAATATTCAACGCTTCTAACTACATTAGTATGCTTGGGGGACTAACGCAATGATGCATTATCCCTATATTCAGGTTAAGACTTTAACTTTGCCGGTTTTTTTACTAAACTTTATTGAAGCAACTAGTTGACACAATAAGCGGGCTGACGCAATGATGCGTTACTATTAAAGTCGGCTTTAAAAGTCTTAAGTGGTAAACTCAATTAGAAGCTGCGTTGCCGTATGATTTTATAGAAAAATGTAAAAAAGGTCATATAGTTTCAGAACCAAACATAAAAAATTCAATATAAATAAAAAACAACAAATATATAGAAATCCACAATAAGAAAGTTAATTAAAAAGTAAATAAGCTTTCTGATTGATTGGTGATAAAGAAGATTGATTAGATAAGCCATTAAGAAAAACTAGCAAATGTTGGCTAGGACCACTTCTCCAAAAACGTGATGATAACGAATTTGGTGCAACATTCACGAGAACTTTTATCATGTAAGCAGTGACGGTTTTCAACATCGCTAATAAATATTTCCCCAAACATTTTCCCACTAATTTATATGTATCTAATTTATTGTATGCTGCGATACGCAGCATTAGTTATTCAGGAAGCGTCCTGAGCAGACAATGATTATCGTTTTCCCATTAATGCGTCTTTTGCTTCATAATAAATCCATAAATATCGGTTATTACCTGAAATTTTTTAATTTTAGAAATTATTTCCTTGACATTAATAAACTCGAATTTTAATTAAGAGGCTGAATTTTTCCGCTTGACGAAACTGTTTTGTTAATCTCCAAAAACTACCATTCAAATAAAAAGCCATTTATGAATTACTATTTATTTTCTTCTAATAAAATCATTTGGCGAATATATTTTAAGTATAAAAAAGTGGTCCTTATTGTTTGCTTTTTAATTTTTTTAACATAATTTTTTTAACATAATACATAATGTAAAATTAGTACAGAATAAACATAAATTAGGCAGATTAGATTTAAATTTAAAAGAAACGGTCTTCATTTTTTCATGTATTTTATTATTCTTTTTATGTTATTTGTTTTTGTACCTACAAAATCCATATGATTTGTCAAGTCTCATAGAGTATTGTATACAATCGACTAAATTTAACTCGCATCACAAAAATAAGAATAACGCATAATTAAGTTAATCCCGTTCATGCTTTTTCAAGTTCTTTTAGCGGTTTTTAATTTTTAGTACAATTGATATCATCGCTAAACTTACGAGATTTATCCGAAATTAAGAGAAGAAAAACCAAGAAAAAATTTAAGGTAAGCTTTTTCTCAATATAATTGTGGTATATTTCTTGGTAAATTTGATTGAAAAAGTTTAAATAATTGAAGATATATATATCAAAAATTAGAAATTAGGTATTTTAATGTAAGCTAATGGAAAGAAGTTAATTAGTATTTGACGCAATTGATGGCATGAGAAAGAAAAAATTTTCTACTTTTCTCAGCTTACTAAGGCGATCGTTTCTATAATTGCACAAATATTAATGCTACTAAAAATTACCAAAAACATTTATGTTAGTAGTTATTTTGGAGTTCGCGTAACACACTATTGGAGAAAAATGGATTGTGAATTATTAAAACCACCAGAAGAAGTAAAATTGATGAAAATATTACGGAGAGAGGCATTTTGTAAAACAATTGAGGTACCACGTTTATGGGTAAAAGAAGAAAAGTCGCATAAAGTTTTGCCATTAATAAAGGCTTTGCTACTAAAAATGCCGTGTTTAAAACCTGTCCGGCCATTGAAAATTGAAAATAAAGTAGAAGAAATACGAGAGATCCTGTTGCATCCTACGCCGGTAAAATGCTATGAGGATTTACCACACAGTGATTTAAAAATTTTAGGTGTCACAAAAGATGATTTTGGTTTAACACGATTGGCGCTTTCCTTCGATAACTGGAGAGCAGATGAGCTTTTTAAAGCCATTTTGCCGCAGGAAACGGATGGATTGACATCCTATTCCTGCATTGGCCATATAGTACATATAAATTTAAAGGATAATTTGCTAGACTATAAGCACATAATCGGTCAAATTTTATTGGACAAAGTGCATGGATGTCGTACAGTGGTTAATAAAACAGCCGCTATAAATAATACTTACCGTAATTTTCAATTGGAACTACTATGTGGTGAACCCGACTATCAAGTGGAAGCTAAAGAGAATGGTTCATGTTTTCATTTTGATTTTTCGAAAGTCTATTGGAATCCTCGTTTGTGCGGCGAGCATGAAAGAATTGTGAAAATATTACAACCTGGCGACATTTTGTACGACGTATTTGCTGGTGTCGGTCCTTTTTCTGTACCCGCAGCACGTAAAAAGTGTTTTGTTCTGGCCAATGATTTAAACCCCGAGAGTTATAAATGGCTGGAGCATAATATGAGACGTAACAAATGTTTAAAACAAGCGAAGCTTTACAATAAAGATGGCCGTAAATTTATTTTAGAGGATTTAAAAAAGGATTTGTGTGAAAGATGGCAAGAGAACGACATTGGAACTTACAGCATTCACATAACCATGAATTTACCTAGTTTAGCGGTAGAATTTTTAAACACCTTCTGTGGCTTATTTGAGCATGAGTGCAGAAATAAAATAATAGATTTCACTTCCGACAAGATTAAATATCCCTTAGTACATGTATACACATTCGCTAAGGGTTTAAACAATGAGGCAATGGCTTTACAAAATGTAGAATCTAATCTGGGTTCGAAATTAACTGAAAATCTACATGGCGTACATTTTGTACGCAATGTTGCTCCTAATAAGGATATGTTTAGGGTATCCTTTTGGTTAACAAAGGAGATTTTAACAAATTCTATACCGAATGATTTGTCACGTAAACGAACAGCTGATATAAACGGAGATAATTTAATTAGTAAAACCAAGTTTAAATGTTGTTAGGTTTAGAATTAACAAAGTAAGAAATAAAAAATTAAAAAGAAAAAAAACAAGTTTTATTTAATTTTGTTTTAATTTAAAAAAATTAACAAATTTCATTTAATTTTTACGTTTGTTCCATACTTGAATTTCAGCGATGGGTCGTAAGTCGAAAAGTAAGGGCCAGTCGCAGAGCGCAAAGACTTTAAATAAAGCGAAGAAAGATAAAAATGTTTTTAAAGTCTCGGATAAGAATCATTCTAAAAAGGCCAAACAAGTGCGCGGTAATTTAAAAAAGGTAAAAGATGACTACATTTTTTTTATTAACAAGGTCTTTAAACATTTATTTTATTATTATTATTATTATTATTTCTTTTCTTTTTTGTAGATAAAAGATGAGGTGAATAAAAAACAAGAAAAATCTGATGAGGCGCTTAAAGAGCTGCATAAGGAGTTAGTTATGAAGAAGCCAAAGAAATCTCAAGCTCGTCCCCTAAAATCAGCCAAAAAGCCAGCTTCAGCGAATAGCGCGAATGTCTCGGCCGAATTGAAAAATTTGAAATTCTAGTAAAAGCTTGAATACCTATGGGGTCTGGAGACAGATGAGAAATATTCAATTTCCCAAACTTTTGTTGTAGTCATTAAATATATCAATCAATTGAAAAAACTAACTAGTGTTAGCAATCAGTTTATTTGCCTTGTACAAGCTGTTCATAAAAATTTTAACCTGACGTTGTAAAAATAACTACATTTCCTAGAAAAATCATTTTAATTTGTGTACAGTAATACTTGTGTTTGATTTATTGGTAAGTAAAAAAGCAACTCATTACCGTTATCTGTGGCATCATCATGTAACTTGTGAAAGGCGTATTTATCTTCTCATCTTTTTGATGCCTTAGTAGGAGCAGATAAGTATGCAATGTGAAATAAATTAGATAAGAACGGAATTCTGTTTATGTTTATGTGACCGGCTAACTAATGTTTCTGTCAACATACGTATTACTTTCCGTGACGTAAGCGTAAATTATGTATAGATTTCTGTTATACTTCATACTTATATCATTATTGTAATTCGCGTAATCGGATTATGCGAATATATTAATTGTTCGATTTTATTGGAGTATTTTAATGAGTATCATGCATCAAAGGTCCTTTGAACTACATTTTAAGCTTGTCACACAACGCGTACGTGCGCTGTGTGACCTATAATATGTTGGTTAAAAATGTTGAGTGTTTATTAATGACGGAGAACTCTTTGTCGCAACCTCATAAAGCGATCTGTCCGCTGCATACGAAATTAATTTTCAATTTGAGCAAGTAACTAAGTTTTCGGATTCAAGGAGATTCAAGGTTTTTAAGAAGGTTTTAAGAATGCAAATACCGTTGCATCAATCTTAATCGCAAGACATAGAACAATATATATAATCCCATGTTTTAACTTATCTAGAGATTTTGTGAGTGAACCTAACTTCGAAGCTGTTGATGTAACACTATTAAGCTTTGACTTGAGGCATTTGTTTGTTACCAAGAATTCGAATTTGGAGGTTAACGAACAAGATATGTCAACATATCTAGTCTAACAAGACTACGATCAACTAAGTGGTGAATATTTTAAATGTCCATATGATCTCCCATTTGGAAAACATTCCCAAAAACGTAAAAGATTTCGAGATTATTTTGCTTAAGCATTGGTCATTGAACTAGTAGTCGAATCATTGCTAACAGAAAAGAAAACCTTCGAAATATTTGTACAATTGATCGACGTTATTGCAAAGCTTTTCCCAAAGTAAAAGTCTGATTGCCTTTTTCTTCTTTACTTTCCTATGTTTAGGATCATTGAATATGCATCAAAGTTAGTGAGAAAAATTTTGTCTTTATTCGCTACTACAGCAAAAAAAAAAAACGAGCTTTCATTGTAAGTAAAGATTTGATTTGTTTATCTGTCTCTCCCTTTTGGAACACTTCGTCTTAAAAATTGAAACTTGTTACGTATATTCTTTTTTTTCCTCCAAAGGACAAAGCTTTTAAGGGATAATAATAAGTATACAGACAGACATGTAATAGTTATAAATCTGCGGGGGAGCATTTTGTTTGGTGCATATGTGCTTGATAGCTGAAATTTCTACCGATATTTCAACTGCGCATTCCATCAAACTTTTGATGGAACAACGAAGAAAAGTTTTTTTTCCATTTCTGAAAAGGTAAAAAAGTGGAAAATTTAGAAAGAAATAGATAGACTTATATATCGAAAAAGAATTGCGAAATTTTGTTTCGGGCATTTTGATTTGTAAGATGATCTCCGTTTTAGTTGGTTAGTCACTGATGATTTCGATCAATTCCGTGCTTTAAACAGTTCGAAACATTGTTTTTGGATTACAGATATGGGACGCAAATTTAACTTTGACCAATCAACTATTTGATTTGGGTGGTTGGAATATATATATATGTGTGAATAATAAGAGTTAATTATTTCAATTTCCAGTAAATATATACAATATATAAATATTTTTTATCGCATGATATATAAAGCTTAAGTCAATAGAAAGATGACATTTCTTCATCGTAACTAAATTCTAACTAAATTCCAGTACCTCATAAATAATTTTAACGAAGATAACAGCGATGAGGCTGTTGGCAAAAATATCGTTATAAAAGAGAAGTAGCAAATATGAATGCAACCTATTCGGAGTAGCGTCATTCGCTTAAGCGGTGTTAATAATGAGATATTTAACGGTTTTAACTTTTCTTACTGTCTGCGTAATGGGCTTACTGGCTGCTCAACTAGCCCATAATAATGCTGTCGAGTTTTCGACAACATCAACGATCTCTACGCTAACTCAAGATTTAGAGGAGCTTTTTCATATGGTGCCTTTCAAATCAATTAAACGTCTAGTAACGCGCTATTTGTTAAACGATCAACAATTTCAAAATATTATTCGCATTATTAATTCGAATGACGCTCACGTCGCTTATATGCGCTTTCGCACACAGCCCGAAGTGATAGGCTTTCGCAATTGGGTACGTGTACAGTTAATGATGTCAGGCGGTGAATTGTCTTCAATGGAGGAATCTGGTGAATTGGTTATATTTAATCGTTCGCCATATTGGTCGAGTACGGTCTACGGTTGGCAGGGATTTGTTAATGAATTTCTTATGTATTATCCTCAAGATCTATTAAGTACACATATTAATATGAAAGTCGCTGAAAATGGAGATTTTTCGCAGCTTTGGACGCGTTTACAAAGTTTGCAAGTAGTTTACGAACGTGTAATTGCTTATCCGGAAGCTCAACGTGTTATAGCCGCTTTAGAGGACGCTGGTGTTAATATCGAACAATTTGATCATTTTATACGTAATCTATTTGGTTGGTCAACGGTTGCATCTGCACATTAATTAAAAAAAGCAGCAAAACCGTTATATGTTTCCGATCTTAAAAATCCAGCAACATTAATTATTGAAATAGAATTTTAAAAATTATAAAATAAAAATAAAACTTTTTATTGTAATATTAAAAATTAAGAAATTCATTCAAATTAAAAAAAAATTTTAACATATCGATATGTAGGCAGATAGACTTGTATAGGGTTTGGAAATGAATATAAAACCAAAGTTTTTCTTTTCTTGTTTTAGATGTGGATAAGAAAACGGGAACTTAAACTTATTGTTTTTTGCGTTTCAACCAATTCGGTATACATTTGTTGATGGCTTCGCCCAATTGACGATAGATCATTAGGGCCAATATCGGTAATACCAGTCTTGCGTCTTTGAACAAATATACGTAGCAAGCAACCATAAACAGTATTAGGTCGGTTGAGTAGCTGACTGCTGAACGCACGTTTTCATGTGCTTCTGCTATAAGTTGTTCATGAGTTTTACCGTTAACTGGGTCGATATCTCCTTGGCTGGATGATTTACGTTCTTCTTCATTTGCTTGGGATGTTGATTTTATTGAAGGTAAGATCTGACGACCTGTGGGTACTGGAGATCTAGATTCCGCTGTGGTTGAACGTCTCGTTCTTGAGACAACTCTTTGTTGCCCTCCTATTATATGATCTTGCTGGGAGGGTGGTCGACTAAGTGATGTGTCGCGTGAACGTGTGCTGGATGGTACTCGTTTCTTAAGAATACGTTTCACTTTAATTAAACGGGGACGGCCCCGAGAATCGGGTCTTTCTTCTACAGTTTCACTTAATATAGTGGTCTCTATAGTCTCTTCTTGATCTTCTGTTGGAGGGACTAATGAAAGTTTTGGCTGTTGTGAGGATAAGTTATTCTCGCTGGATGCTTCGGGTACTTGATTACTTTCCGCAGTTATGATATCAACTGTTAATTCAGTGGGTGTATTACTCACATATTTTACTTGTTCTTTCTCCAAAATGGGAAGCTTTGGTTTATTATTTGTTGCTGGTGGCGCTAGAATAGGCTGTGGTTCCGCTTGCACAGGTTGTGGATTTATATCTTCATTTTCTTCATCTTCTCCAGTTGCCTCCCCTTCCTCGACGGCTTTGGCAGTTACTTTTTTCAGTTCTTCCTGATCCATATAAATGGGTGTATGATATTTTCGTGTAGTGCTGACCAGATGTACTAATTCACTATAGTGATCTGCTGCCGCATGCGCTTCTTCCATCATTATACGTTCAGCTTCTTGACGTTTGCGTAACTCTTCCTCTTCTTTAGCTCGTCTTTTTTTTTCTATTTCTGCAGCCAATATTGAAATGTTGGATTTTTCTTGAGGGTTTGATAACATTTCATTTTCTTCGGTATTTTTTTCGGTTTCATTGGTACGTTGTTTGTCTCGTTTAAAGAAGGCCTTAATACCCTTAGCTATATCTAGTTTCTCACTACTCGATTGCTCCGTTTTATTATTTGCGTTGCCATTATCACTCGATGTTATCGATCCAACATTCTCATTTGATGGTCGTTTCAATATGGGTTTAGGTACGAAATCTGGGCTGGGTAAAGGTACTGGTCGTGTAAGTACTAAGGCAGCTTCATCGGGCGTAGGCGTTCTATAGGGGGTAAATATGCCCGCCGTCATATTGCGTGGATGGTAGGTTTCTAATTCACGCGGACTAGGTGAACGTGTCCGTGCCATTAATTCCATTTTAAATTTCGCTATGGAATCTTCATCGGATGAGGCGGTGCTTTCTGTGTAATCCGAACCTAGTTCAAAACTGTCATCTTTCTGCAAAGCACTTGCCTCGGGATATTCCTCGCTATACTCTTCACTTTCCTGACTTTCCTGACGTTTGTTTAATACCATAGGCGTGGTTCGTGTTATAGGTTTCATTTCATTTACATTCTCTTTTGAGCTCCATTTTTGTATGTTACACGTAATGTCTGCTGATTGTCTTCTCAATTCACTACGTTTCTCAAACGATAAACGCTCCGCTTCTGTCATAGACCCTAAACGCTTACGCATAGTAGGTGGCTGGATGTTAGTAGTGCTCGTTAGTTTGTCTTGTGCAATTTTAAGTTTGCGCGCCTTTTCAGCCTCTTCCAATTCAACGGCTTCGTAAAAACGAGCCATTGCTCGTTCGTACAATAATTCGGTAGAGCTTACTGAACGCCGGATTGGGAAGGTAGTGTGCAGGGTTGTGTATTCCAGTAAAGCCAAATCGGGGGCTGAAATTGAGATTGGGGGCGGTTGTATGGCATCTTCTAAATCCAATTCGAAGGAATCTTGCTCTGGAAAGAATTTAAAAAAAAGCGTTAGTGGGTGTTGAGATTAAATGCTAGCTATCTCGAAGGGGTACAGTGAAAGAGAGGTTTGCAGGATGAAAGACTTACTATCTTTATTATCCTTAACTTTGCTACTTTTATTAAATACAACAAGCATGAATTCGTTACTGGTATGTACATCATCATGCTTGTCGTTGTTTGATTGATATAGATTTGGAGATGCCATCTCAGAAGGTTCAGGACTTAAAGCGCTGGTGGGAGAAGCTAACGTCTCTGGTGTCAGAGGGGCAATAATAGTTGCAGGCGCGCTTATATCTATCGTGGGTCGTTTGTAAGCCAAGCCATTGTCTTTACCAAAATCGTTAAACTTATCTTCAATAGACTGCTTGTCAATGTCAATGGCGTTGCCCAAATTGCTAGTAGCTATGGCTATGGCTAAGTTAGGTACGTTGCGTGCTGGGCTAAGAGCGTGACCAGAATATTTTCTCACTGAAGCATTACTATTAGAACCTTGTTCAATGGGTGGTTTAAAACTTTCGGTCGTATTATTTAAATTATCGGCAGCTACAGCTATTGCTAGATCGGGGATATTGCGTGCTGGACTCAATGCATGATTGGAATAACGTCTTACTGATTGATGATCGTTCATTTCTGCAGGCTCTGTACTGCGTTCCAGAGCCGTAACTAAGCTTCTCTGAACGGAATCGTTCGGAACAGGAGAACTTTTAACTGCGCCTAGATTATCCTTTGTTGACTCGGGGCTCAAACTAACATTTCGCAGTTGCTCCAAAGACGGAGTCGATACTTGCTTGGATTTTGAAGGGGATTTTTCTTTTGGCTTAAGTAGGCTTTGAAAAAGTGCAGGTTTCTTAGCGATATCTTTTGTTGGCGCACTTTTCGATGCCTGAGTTTCTTTTGATTGTTCCTCGATCTTTTTTAGAGACTGTTTTTCTTTTTTGGATATTAGGTTTTCTTTCTTTTCATTTTGGAGCATTTTCACAGAAGCCTTTCCGGCGTTTTCCTTTGAAGGTGAAAGTTGTGGTGATTTGTTTACTGTTTTTGAAGGCGTCGGAATTTCTATACATTTACTTGGCATGGTAGGAGAACGCTGGGGCGATTTCGAGACTGTTAGCAACGATTCCGTAGCTTTTGTAGGTGAGGTTTTAAATAGCTTCTCCTCTTTTTTGAGAGGAGCTGTCAAATTCGAACGTATCAATTTACTAGGGCTTTCGGTAGATTTAGCTCCATTGGTAAAAGGTGAAGGACTTTTGTGTATTTCTTGCTTCAAAAGTCGATCCGGCATTCCGTAGGACATTTCTCTGTGTAAGTCCTCGGAGTCTAAAAGTTGAGGTTTATATTTTCGTTCATGTCTTGGAGATATTCTAAAAGTTAATGTTTCCGTGGCTGCATCAGCTACCGAACGTGGTGGCGACAAAGTTTTTCTGCGTGGGGGCACGGGCTTTTCTTCGAATTTGTTATCAATTAATTTAATAGCGGATTTTGGTTTTGTAATACCTCTTTTAGGGTCGGGTATGAAAAGAATGTCTGATTCTTCACTGGGGTCACTTAAGCCATATGGATTTTCGGCTTTTACACGAAATTTATACTCTGAGCCTTCTATTAAATCATGTAACGTTGTGCTTAGCGATCTGGTTGTGGCCGCCTTTAGCCACACATTCCAGCCAACTCGGAAGTATTCCACGATGTAGTTGCCAATCTTACAGCCGCCATCATCGATCGGAGTTGTCCAAGATAAAGTGGCGGATTTACCAAATGACATATTAAGACGAACTTTGCCCGGAGGATTTGGTCTAGCTGTGACGGTAACTAGGAAAGATGCCGTGTCTTCTCCGAGCTTGTTGGAAGCGCGTATATCATACTCGCCTCTATCTTCCCGCTGAATGTTATCAATTTTTAACATAGAATTGCGTTCGGCATTGATAATTTCAAAACGGTCCCTATTAATGACAGGTTCACCCTCATGGAACCAGGTCACAATGGGGGGTGGCTGCCCAGCTATACCTACTTTAAGACGTAACACCTCTTGTGCCTCTACGATAAGACCGTCTTCATAGGTACGTGGCAAACGTATTTTAGGCGGAGCCTGCACAAAAAGATGAGCTTTCGTTACCACATGACCAGCACGATTGGTTGCTGTACATTTTATTTCACCCTCATCCGTCAATGCTACTTGGTGTATGATTAAAACGCTCGCTTCGCTATCGTTAACAATTTTTGTGCGTCTACTACTGAAAATTTCATAACCGTCCTTGAACCAGTTTATCTCAGGTGGTGGTTGACCCAAAAATCGTACACGAAATTCGATACGTTCATCTTCAACAACATGTTTATCTTCTAGTTCATTTATAAAGCGGGGCACGCTGATAGCGTTACGCTGCAAGGTGACGGTTAAAATATCAGATAATTCGCTAGGTTCGGATCGCCCCACGATATTTTCGGCAAAAACACGAAATTGGTAACGCCAACCCGGCTCAAGACCACTTATGCACACTTCACAGCGCGTAATTGGTGTAGGAGTGGCTCGTACCCAATGAGGTGAGCCCATGCGCCGATGTTCGACAACATAGCCTGTAATGGGTGAGCCGCCATCAACCTTTGGACGTTCAAAACGTAAACTAATAACATCAGGTTGCTGATCGGGCAACGGTATTAACATTGGACGTCCGGGCGGAGATGGACGTTCTGAAAAGTAATAAAGTATTCTGATTAGCCGAACCGAAGAGATATATGTTTAGTAATAAGTGCAACAACCTCATAGTGATTCATAAAGCAAATGTATGCGTAAACTCGAAAAATACAGAAGAAGAAAAGCAACTAAAACAAATATTTGCTGATGTTTGCTTCCACGAAACAAATTACGACATTTAGTTTCCCTTCACTTGTTGTTGTTAGGTTTTCTAAAAATTTTTTTTTGCTCTCAGTTTTTCTTCCTTTTTTTTTATTTTTATTACGATTGCATTGATGTTGGCGATTCACTTTCTTTTCTCTCTTCATTTATGTCTTTTTATCTCTCTCCCTTGTTTACATTTCTCTTAACGCATTCAAATTGTTGAAGACTTACTTTTAAATATACCGAAGCTGTCATATCAGCAAATTTGCATTACGAGGAAGCGAGAAGAATCCGTGCACCGTCACTAACGTTTCATATGCTAATCGCCTTTAGTATTGAAATTGAATCACCTCCTACGAAATCATACAATTTGGAGCGTGTGAAATTACATCTACTATTCGAAGGTAAGAATGAAAATTTTTAATTTAAGACCGAAATTCTAAAACTAATTGAATCCGATTATAAGAATCATCACCTAATATCTAAACTAAATAACTTTAGGGTTCATTCACGCGATGCAGATATCACTAATAAAAGTTTGGTACGAAGCATTCCATCTGACAGTTGTGTCAGTTTCTTATCTAAAATCTTATGCTAAACTATGTGATCCGCTGTATCCTGGTAGTGGATATCGAAGCATGCCGATCAAGCTCTACATAACCTCTCTTCTGTTTACATATGCACTGAATATATACAGAGAACAACAAATATACGATTCAATACACAGCAAACGGCAAAGTCAACCACTTGAGTATAGACATAGTTCTAAAAATAACCACATTTCTAACGCTCCCACCCGACAGACATATCAGCTATTTATGTCTAAAATCTATGAGTTTTTTATATTTAAGATTAAAAAAAAAAAAACGTCGACTTTTTCCTAAGAAATATGCGGAAATACTGCACAGATTTAGGGCATTTTCGTTACCCATTACCTGCTGTCTTCCAGTGAACATTCTTTTTAGGTCGGCCACTTTGATTATGATGTTGTAGTTTCCCCTGTTGATTTCCCATGCACGCTGCTGTGGTTGATAAAAGGATAGAAGAGAATTGAAAAGGATTTTAAAAACTTTCAATTTCAATTTGTAAAGGAACCAAATTTCGAAAATGCACTTTAAATGAAATTTTTCTTTAAGAAATTTTTCTAAATAATTCTTTTCAATATTTTCAATGCCTTCATTTTTTCATTCTTTCTTTTATTTTTCTAAATTAAATTTCTGGTCGCAACGTTAAATAATTCCGTACAATACAACACACTTTTTAAAAATATTTTTCATTTTCAATACGTGGCGATTGCACTCACAAACGACACTGTCAGCCTAGGCGCTACTTGAATTTATTTTCATCGGACTCTTGGCGCGCGGAAAGAAATTTCTTGCATATCAAACTTGTAAAATTTTCAAAACTTTCCTCTTAAACAAACAAACATTCATTCATTTCATTTCATTAAGAGAGAATTCAATTCCACTGTCTATTCTTGATAATTATTAAACTTTTGAATGAAAAGTAAGAGTAAAAATTAAGAGTAAAAAGTTTTAAAAAGAATTTTTCTACAAAAAATTACTTTTAATTGCCGCGTTCTATTATATATATATATTATATATACGTACACGTATTTTAATGTTTTCTCGACCACATTACTTAGCCAAGAAATCACAGAAAGAAACAACTAAATGTATTACATTCATCTTGGGTCAAATTTCAGATGATCAGCATCTCAATCAAGTCACGTATTGATCGTGGATGATAAAAAATAATTTGAAAATTAATTTCTTATTTTCCTTCTTTTTTTTTTTTTTACATTTCTTTGTGGATGGGTAACGGGATCTGTGAATAATATGCTGACCTTCTTAATTTCGATTGTATACGAATTTTAACAACTTCTTAATAGCAATCTCTACATCTATAGAGCTCAACTAAGACAGGGTCTTACGATAACCAAGCGTATAAATGTGCATTTGAAACAATCGTTAACGCTAACCTTCGTATGCTAAAAACGAAGCATCAATATTATTCTACCCGAAACTTTTTACGGCGCGTATCGAAATGTAAATAACATTATAATATTAAGAAAAATTGCAAATACTTCTCATTCAAAATACATTTTTTAGCAGCTTGTACATACATATAAATGGGAACAACGAGATTGTTCAGCAATTTGTAAACATTCTAAGAAAATAGTTTTAAAACTTTTTCAAATGCAATATTTCAAATCTACAATTAATTCACTTAGACTATAATATTAATAACAATTATTTCCTTTGAAAAACATTAATCAGAAAAGGCAAAAGTGCTCGACGGATCTTCAACACCCCGCAGTATTTGAAAATGGATTCTGGATCATTATTTTATTGTAAGTTTAAGATTGATATCGGGCATAGTTGGCAAATTAGTACTAATAGTGTCCATAAATTTGTATTCTTCTCGATATTTTTACACCCTACCCTATCTAACAAGTGGTGGCGGGGTATATTTAATTTATGCCTACGCATGTAACACACAGAAGGGCTTAAGATAGACACACCTTTTATTATTCCGATTAATTCGAAATCATTTTCTGAATTGATTTAAGCTGGTCTGACTCAGTCTGTTCGTCTTACGTCTGTTCAGGTGCTTTCACGTCTCACCTACAGATTGCAAACTTTAATGTACACTTTAACGTATTCTGACGTAAGGAAGAACACTATTGAAAATGGTTCGGATCGACTCGTTTTTTCGACTTTTTCAAAATAAGTCGTTATGTACAAAAAAACTGCAATTTTCGAAATGTTTGACAAAACTCGTTGAGTAATAGCAGTTTGACATTCTAAATTGGTATGAAAGATTTGGTTCGGCTGGGATAATTTTTTGAACACCCTCTTCCTCAAATACCCGTTCCATCGTAAACTGACTTTTTATATGGTAAAAGGATATAATTTTCAATATTTAATTGTGAAAATTAATTATTAAAGAAATCAACGTTAGCGAATTCGGACCACGTAAGTCTATATCGTGGATACCACAGCATCTAAAGATTCGCAGAAAATGTAGTTAAACTCTTATAATCCAAAAAATAAATGTTCATTATAATAATTTCATATAAATATTGATTGGACTTAATTTCAAACCCGTGGATCCATTTACTTTTTGACCCCACGTCATATAAGATTTCTCATGAATGATAAGTCCCTCAAAAAATGGTTTAATTTTTAATATTTGATGATGAAAATTGATCCTTACTAGCTATTTCGCCGAAGAATTAACGTTAGGAAATTTGAATCGCGTAGGTTGATGTTGTAGACCCTAATATATATAGGGTTTATCATGAAAAGCAAGCCCTTATATAGAGAGAAAGTCTAATTTCTAGTTTTTTATGATGGAAACTGAAAATTATTACAAATTTTTCGTAAGTAAATTAAATTTGCTAAATTTGGAGCACATCAAGTGATGTTATGGCCACTCTCCAATATATAGACTTTCATGAAAAGTATGTCTTTGCTTGGGAATAATATTTTATATTTGGTGTCTTATTACGAGAAAGGTGCTAGGCGAAGAACTGTAGGGTATCTAATTGTCTGTGTTGCCCGACTATAATTTTGCTACATTCACGTTTAGTTAGTGATCATAACTGGGCTATTTATCGGACTTTTACATGGATTTTCAACACTGTTTTGTTAAGTACCTATATATTCTTGGTTCAAATCTTAAATACCAATCTTCTCAAACAAATAGCATGCCTGGCTTTTTTTCGCACAAGGATTATGTATACAAAGTTTTCGTGGTCGCAAGACGAAGTCTCATATATTTTCCATTCCAGCGTTCGCGGGCTCAAATCTCAGGTACGGTGGGTTTTTTGCATTCATTATTACAGCAAACGACTAGAACATGAATTAGGGATAAGAAGATGCTTCAGCGACTTTATGACGGCGCTAAAGTTATCGTTTTGATACTAGTATAAGAAGCACACAACTTTGATTTGCTAAAGATATGTAAACCGCATACAGTGATGCACATAGATCTTAAGGTATACTTCATCAGTTTAATCTGTCTCTATGCCTATCTGGTAAATAATGAGTACAACTTTAAAATTTTGCCCTGAAATTTTTCCTAATCACTCTGTTAAATCAAAGTCAATTTGAAAAGCCGCTTAAGGAAACTGATAACTTTTCCACTTTTCCTTAAGTTGCTTTAATAATGTGGAACTTTTCATTGGGTGCTTTAAGCTGCGTCTTCAATTTTTCTTTAATAAGAAGTCCATATCACATTAAAAATTTAAAGTTATAAGAGACTGTAAGGAGAGATATATGAATACAGATTTGTATTATATAATTTGCTATGAGGTTCTGTCAAGTTGCGGAAAAATTCGGCTTCCAATAAAGTACCGTACATAAGTACATTGTGTATTTATGGAGACTGCTCATGTTATATATATTTTCTTGAAATCTTTCTTTTCTCTTCCTTTGCTCGATTATATATATATGTCATAATGATAGAGAAGCATCAATTTCATTCTAAAACGGGGACCCTAGAGTAATGAATAATTTTGAAGTCTGAAACACACTTTGCATTAAATATTAAAATAGTTATAATTTGTCAATTTATTACGATGTTCACGCTGGTATCACAATAGGCACAGAATAAAGCGGACTGGCGATGGAAGTATGTGCAAGGCAACGGCAGCCATAAAATGTTCCGGTAGCGAACATAAACTCCTGGAATTTGAAAGAAGCGATTTACGTTTAGTTACCGGCTTCTGCACGGGCCATAATACCCCGAGGTACCATCTGGAAAACATAAGTATGTTTGATATCGATTCATTCAGATGCTACTAAGGGACTACGGAAGTGTCACATCATATTCGATGTGAATGCGATGCCATCTGCAGATTCAGACATCCAGTGTTTGGCTAGCTTTTACTACGCCTGACACGGTATGGTGTTCCGATGCAAAAAAGGTTTCGGGAATCATAAAAATCCTAAAGCTGGAGGGCTAGGGGTTTGGGTGAGTACACGTACGTCTTGGCCACGTAATTAATAATAATAATAAATATTATATTGCCCTCCATCATTATCAGGGACAGTTTGCTGTCTTTTTTGCAAATTTTCAGTTCCGCTTCCTACTGTAATTCATGCTGAGTAAAACAAATTGCAGCCCAATGTACTTTCTTGATAAGCTAGGGTTGGGGACTGATATTCCGGTTTGCCATTGCTTGGACCGCTTTATATAATCATAAATCATTTTTAATTTTTCATCTGCAGTAACTCTGCTCTCTGCTAAGAAATTGATCTCTTGGAAATTTGGATAGCAATGAGATGCAAATTGATCGATTCATATTCTTCTTCTTATACCCGATAATCGACACGTTACTTATATTCCAAGCCTGTTTTCATTTTATTGTGTACCCATGTGTACCCAGAGCTTGTTAATAATTTTTGTGTACTTAATTTTGGATCAACTTTCACAAGAGATCCTAGGGTGTCGTTTTCAAATTCAAGTGGTCGTCGACTTCAAGCTCTCTCAAAGAGATCGTAATCGCCAGCAGGAAACCTTCTGTTCACACGTTAGCATTTGTTAGCTTTCAATGCATCTCGATATATTAAGCCCCGCGTGAAAATGAGAAGGTACGCTATATCGAAAATGATTTCCGAAAGATATGGACGTTACCATTTGATTGCATATTTGTAAAATAAAATTTTATCCCATTAGGCTCAGGCTGCTTAACCGAAAACTGGAAAAGAATACTAGATTAGATAGAATAATTTTTCCCCTTCAACGATCGGTACAGAAATAAAGGCGAAACAAATTCTTCGTAACTAGTTGATTATTTACGGATCCGTCTAATACTCGCATTTAGGCAATCTTTTGCTCGGTGACCATATGATGTCTTTTTACAAATCTGAAGTGCCGATCAGTGCCAGTCAGATTATTTTGCAATAAGTGAAATAAAAAGTACATCCGGAAATATATGGCGGTTTTTCTTCAATTACCTATTCGAGTGATTGGAGCATTTTTCCTTGATTTCTTCTGTACTGTTTCGTGATCAGCGAGGCTTTAATGATATTAGAATTTAGGTAAATGTCAAAGTTTGTTGTCCTATACTTTAGCGAAAATAAAGCGCAAAATGAAAAAATATGATTTTCGCTTGGCTT